AAAAAAAGAAAAAGAAAATAAATTCTAAAAATCCTTGATCCCCAAGCAAAAATAGCAGCTATATATACACACACTTTCGCCTCCTTCATATGCAACCCTGTTAGCCCTATATCTAAGCTCAAATGGATGAAATCATAAAAATGGCCAAAATCCAGTACCAAAAGCTCCCTGAGGACGATAAATCACACCTGGTCGAGGCCTTTGCCCAGCTCGACCGTGACGGCCTCGGGAGAATCGATCCTCTCCGGCTGCTGAAAAACGTTGCATTCCCGGAGCTTGTCGGCCGTGATCTCCTCTACATCAACCAGTTTGCCGACGATTCCTACGGGAGATTGAGCTTCGACCGGTTCCTGGCCGTATGGTATGCCGGAGACCGATGCCTGAGAAACTGCCACTGGTGCGGAAAGATTCTGCCGGCCGTCTACTTCACGTGCAGGAAGTGTGACGAGGAAGATCAGGAGTTCAGGCTGTGTGTCGGCTGCTTCGAAGGGGGAGAGTACTATCACAAGCACCCAGCTGAGGAAATCGAAGACATCACTGTTTTTAAGCCGATCGAGTCCAAGAGATCCCCTCGTGCTGAGGTACATTGTAATGTTTCTTTTCGAATTTGTGTTGTTGTTTTTTCATCTGTTAATGTCCTGCTGAAGTTATTCTGATTTGATGGGTAATTTTTTGGGTGAAGGATGATTACCCAGTAGGATCAAGAATTAGGCAGACCTACTTATCGAAAGAACTGAAGGCCATCAGTGAGTATAGATCAAGGACCGGCACAAACTTTGCAGTTATGACAGGGGAGATTGGAAGTTTCCTGGAAATGCTTGCTAATTTTCCGCCTGTCGTCTATGACAAGGATCAAGAAGAGGATACTGAAGTGAATCGGGAAGAGAATGCTACTACTGAAGAGGATGGGGAAGAGAATGCTACTACTGAAGAGAATCGGGAAGAGAATGCTACTACTGAAGAGAATCGGGAAGAGCATGCTACTGACGACAAAGAAAAGAAGGATACAAAACGAGAAGAAGATACCGGTAAGGACAGAGAAGAGGATGCTACTGGTGAAGCAGAGGATAACAATGTGGATGAAAAAGAGGGAGCAGCAGCAAAGGGAAATTGAAGTTTAATGGTGTTTGTATTAGCTCTGGTTTTGTTTCATGCATGCTTTTGTTTCGTTTTAGGGTGTTTTATGGCATTAGCCACTATTAGCTCTATTTTGTGTGTGTTTTTCAGATGAGTATTTCCACAAGACTGATGATTACATGTACCTTGACTAATCCATCATCAAATTTCAATCTTGGTGTCATTATTATAAATTATCCATTCTCTATCACTTTCTTGGAAAATTTAGAATGAAGCTCGTTTTTTACCATCACTTGACTTACTTCTCTATAATCCGAGAAACTATTGTCTTTGTTTCATTTGGTTCAGCCCACAACACAAATCCAGCTTGAGTTTCAACACACATATACTGTTTTCTTTTACTCTTCAAACTTGAATCAGATCACAAAATTGGCAACTTTGAACTATATTGAGTCCAGGTATTGAACATTGTATATTAAGGCGCTATCGTATTAGAGTACAGGAGATAGATACACTTAGAAGCCACAGTAATAAGTGATCACTTGGCCTATGATCCTAAAATCTTATCGACCCTACTATTAGTCGCCCTCGACAGAAACTTCATGCAAATGGGAGGTTTAATCCCAGCCAGAGCCAGTACAGAACTCGGCAGCGTCCATATCCCGTCACCACATATCAGGCCCGAGGCCACAGCCGGCCCGAATGCATCCGCCTTAGCCCTGTTCATCTTCTGCCAGACAAAGAGTATGAGACTCCCAACACACATGTCGATCGCGAAATACGAACCCAAGTAAAACGGGATAGCCATTGCCATCGGGAGTGGAATAAACCATGACCTCTCTTTCCCCAGACAGTCCCTGATGAGGTTAACAACAATGGCAGCTGCGAAAAACGCGTAACACAGGTTCAGACAGTTATCCGGAAGCTCCGAAACACCCTCAACTCCCAACTTAGCCATGTTGTAGTAAACAGTCGCAAAGGGAGCCGGGTATTCGCTCGTGGGGAGTCCGAGGTCCGGAAAAGCCCGGTAGAAAACCCAAAACACGCACGGAGATATCACGCAACCCATAGCTGTTCCAATCACTTGGCTCAAGAACATGGCTCGAGGCGAAGCCAATGTCAAGTAGCCTGTCTTGAAATCCTGCATTAAGTCAGAGGCAGTTGAGACTATGTTCATCATCACACCGCATGCCGCCAAGCCAGCTAGGATGCCGCCTCCGGTGACTCCAGCCCAGGCTCCGACTGTGAAGATGGCAAGTTTGCCGTAAGTTGAGGCCAAGGACCAGTCGGTGAGGCCACAGCCGAATGCATTACAGAAGGCAAGGGCAGGGGCGAAAGCGTAAATGACGACAATGTGGTACCATTTGAGGTGGTGGAATATGTGGGGGAGGGTTATGGTGGATATTGCGGCTATGGCTATGTAGCCGCCGAAGGCGAATGGATTCGGGATTTGGTCCTTTAGGAAGAGTTGGGTTCGTTTCTGGTCGTCGTAAGTTTGGGTCTTGTTGGGAGAGTTTCGATTTCCGGTCAGCGGGATTCGAGCGTTGGCCTTTCGTTCGTGGAATTTGATGAAGAGGCCGGCTATTGTACGGCTGAGGACCTTGAAGAAGTTGTACAGGCCATCGCCAAGTATCATGGCTATGCCGATGAAAACCTGCATGTTTGTATGTATCAGTTTCAAGGTTAATTGTTTACGAGATACTACGAGCTGAGGAGAGTAATTAAATGATAGTAGTAAGAGTACCACCTTGTAGCCTTGAAGCCCTTGTAAACTGTTTGGAGATAGATCAGCAGAATACCAATCACCTCTTCTGGTCCCAATAAGTGGCCACATAATACCCCAAGATAGGATACCTCCAACCAGAACAGATACATTTATGATGTGAGGACAAATCATCCCGACTCCAACATAAGTTGCCGAGAAATCGAAGTAGAACCTGTAATTTCAACAGTATGAACAATGGACAATAAAAGGGAAAGTGCATTAGTTCTTAGCTTGCTGCTTTGGAAAATAGCCTTCATAACTAGTGTCAATGATCAGAATCACCTATGGTCTTATAGAGAATGACATTTTACTTTTCCTACTTGTTGTGGGTCAAAATCGACTAGAGAAGTATGTAGTTTTGCTGTTACTTTGCTTACTTGTAGTCGTATGCTTTTAGTCCAAAAGTTGGGAAGTTAACAAATCCGCAGTTGTCACCAGCAGTGAAGAACCACTGAAAGAATCCCCACAAGAAGCTGAAGGAGAAAAACTTGCCTAATTGTTTGACCTGTTTTCTGACAGATGCAAGAAAGTTAACAAGTTCGGAATATCGTTATTATCCCCACAAGCAAAAAAAATTAATAAGCTTTATGATTTAGCTAGGTATGACTTACTTTGCTAGTTTGGCTCCTTCAGGAGTGTGGAAGCTGTTAATGAGATGTGCTGTCGCAGTCCCACTTGGATATGTCAACTTGAAATCTATGATCATAATCTGAAAATAGAAACAACAGAAAGAAAAAGGCAAATCATTCAATACAATTATTAGTATTCAGATTTTTTCAACATGCCATCAGTTTCCACACACCACAGATACTTGAACTAGTAGTAAAATCATAACCTTACGAAGAGGGACCACAGAGAATAAGCCGAGGAAGCTGACTACAAACAGAAAGCCGATCATCCAGCCGAGAGACGGGTTCTTGTAGTCGTAAACATCTCTTGAGTGTTGTGATTGCTGGACCACCCGTTGGCTCATTCCGAAAAGGTAGCTCCCAAACCCTCCTGTTGCAAAACCAATATATATATATAAATAATAAAAGAAAGAGATCAATCAGCCCTTGCACCACATTTTTGTCATGAAAGCTAGTCTTGAGGTTTTGTCAAATGACAAACTTCAAACTAGCTGTTTGGGCATTTTTTTTTTTAAAAAAAAATTCCCATATTGCTCGTTAAAATTTGAATAACTTGCAGCTGAGTATACGTATGATTGGGTTCCAAGTTTACTTTTTTTCCTTCCACAATATATAAAAAGACTCGATTTTTTTTTTTGTTTTTTTCGATTCGTACCACTAAAGGCGATGCCGGAAGAGGCGACCACACACGTCTGGATGACAGTGTTTTCCTGCCGGGTGAAGGGCTGCCTCAGCATGCCGGATTTCTGGAGCATTTTAGTCCATGTCTTGACAAAGAAGAAACCCAGAAGTCCGGCCGACACGTTTAGCGATGGTATAATCCCAGTTGTGAGGTTGAGCTTCATCACTATGAAACAGAACATTACAGAGAGCAAGAAGCTGACTGCAAAAGCTCTTAGTGTCAGCTGTTGTCTCCATGAGGGAACCTCAGTGTTCTCAAATATCCTCTCCACAGACAACTCTTCCTTTTTATCTTCAAATTCTCTTGCAGCCTCATTTAGAACTTTTGGGCTCCCATTTTCCATCTTCTGTTTCTTTATCACTCCTCTTTACAATGTGGATAGTGTGTGTGTGTGTGTGTTCTTTTATTACTGTTGATTGAGGAATCTTTTGGTGGGTGTTTTTGTACATAAAGATGGATTTGGATTATCTGTATTTTTAGTAGTGGAGTGGATTGGTACTGGTACCACATCATGTCCATGTCAAGGGTGGGAAAATGAAGCCAAATGGTGTTAAATGCCGCATAATGTGACCCTTTAAGTTTTGGATATTTTCAAGTCAACTCAACCTCATGAGCTTGACAGTATCAATCAATATGAGATCCACAAAGTATGTAAAAAAAGCCAGCCACAAATTATTTCTTTTCCAGTAAACAAAGGAAATGGTAATCATTTCAAAATTCTCAATCATAAAATAGCCAAGAGAATTTTAACAAAGCATAATTTATAGTATACTATAATTAAATAAGCACAGTTATTTCTAGACAGAATGATAATTAGGAAAAGCAGTTATTATAATAGTTGCAGTCAGTGAAAAGAGACATTAAATACTAGTGGAATGTGTAACAGATCAACTGCCACATACATATATGGCAAACAATGGCAGGTTTAATTAACCACAAGAAGATGGTTTATTAATTAATAAGTACTACTAGTATTAACTAATAAAATTGTTGATCTGAACTATGTGAAGCACCCCACAAATTCATTTGTTGGTTAGAACAATCTAATTGAGCAGAAAATGAAGTTTATGTGCTGATATGATCATATTAATTTCTTGATTTACTGTAAGATGGTATCACCTAATTATTAAGGCCTAGCTAGTTTAAATCTGATTGGAAACATCACAGTCATGATGAGTTGGTGGTGAGACCCAAAGAGTGGATGCCAACAAAACAAACAACACATTTTTCCTTCTACTTTGTACAGTATTCCTAGTTTTACACTAAGTCTTGGTGGAAAATAAAAGAAAATGCCATCTGTCAATTTAGTGACATCTTAAATGTTATTGGTGGGTGGTGTTGGAATTTGGATGGATGCCCATTATATATGTTGGATTCTTAGCTTCATCTTAGCTGTATGTATACTGTATAGTACTCTCTCAATATAAGGCATATAAGGAATTCTCAATTTTTTGGAAATATAAAGCGCACATCAAAACCAAGACAAATTATTCCATTTTCTGCCAAATATACCTTCATTTATAGCTGTAACCATAACAGTAAATACATAATGATTTTCAATAAATAAGGTTAGTTTAGTCAATTTACTAATGTCTCCTTTATATTTGTGCAAAAACTTTAAACGCCTTATATTTCAAAATGGAGGGAGTAATTAGTAGTGTCTGTCTGTCTTGGCCCTAAATAAGATAGACCAAATTTTTATTGGTGAAGGTGTGTAATTACTTGCACTACAACTTCTAAAAAGTGACTTCTGACTTGAAGAAACAATAAATATGATAGATTTTTTTTTATTAAGTGTAATAAAAATCATTTATTTATGAAGACAAAATAATAATGACGCTTTTTAAAAATATATAATCAACATGTAGCCTTTTATTTTTTATTTTTCGGTATAATGAAAGAGGCTAAGGCCTTAATAGATCGAATTACACACGTTCCGTGAGTAGCTCTTTTATTTATTTTGAATCATTTTCCTTGTTTCTGTATAGTTTTCTACAATTAACTGTATTATTGTTTGTTGTTATCATCTATTTGCATGCAAATTGCAGATGCAAGCTATTATATATATCTTCTCCTTAAATGTTGTGCGTGTGCTGTAATATTTATTTCAAATCTCTCCCTTATCTTCCAAAACTATGAATATTTATCTCCACTTGTCAATGCTTTATTCACAAAGTACAAATGTCCTGTAACACCCCACCTTAGTAGTAAATCAGAGTAGCGCATTTATTCGCAAAGTCTTTGAAAAC